CTCTCTCTACTCGGTCGGTTTAGATACTGATATATTTTTTAACTATAAATGATGGACACACCCATTGTATAGAATCTAATCTCGAAGCTTATGAAATACTCATTACTCTCTCACCGCACGTTTCGTGTTAATTTTTTAAAGCAACACCGGAAGCACACCCGCCTTCGTCTGCGTACGAGGGAGAGTAATTTTCCCGGAATAAGAGTCAGGGAGGTGAAACGGGGAGGACACGTACATGTCAATTACATACCTCTTGCACAAAACATATAATCCATTACGTTACGGAAACGAGGGGGAAACGTATCGTGTATGGATAAACTTTTCCGTCCGTCTGGTTTACTTGAAAACCCGACCCCGACCCCGTTCCGTATCAAGATCTTTATCTCGAATAAATTCGAATGGAGCAATGCTGCGAATATTTTCACGACACGATAATAGTCCGTTTTATTGCTCGCGCTACATCGTGACATCATTGACTTTCGTCGGTGGCACGTTCCCAATCGGAAGTGCAATCACACAGCTAACTCCGTCACGTACGGTAGATTGAACGAGACGAAAATCATTTATGACCGACGAATAATCGTCGTATTTTTATAAAAACAAACACTCTGTTCTCGTCACGAATGTAAAAGGGAGAGACGAAGATAACTTATTATTAATTATTATTATTATTATTGACTGATTTGCCGACTGAGTGATTATTAATTATCATTAGCATATGTACTGCGATGCAGTAATGAGATATCTAATAACATATAATGCATTTATTTTCATTCATTTTTGAAGTACGTATGCAATTTTTAAGTAAAAATCAATAATTAGTTAAAAAAATGTCTAATTTGACGCATGAACGTGAACAGTGAATAATTTATTTATTTATGAAAAAATATGTATTTTTTAAGATAAAAATATTATCCAAGTATTTATGGATATTCGCCTTACCGTTATAATCATGCAATAACTTTCGCGAACAGCTCCGCAGCATCCGAAGAAAGCGATGATAAAAATGATGGAGCCCACGGCTACGAGAAGAGAAGGCACGGAAAAAAAGCTGTTGTCAAGGAAATGTTGGTATTGATAATATACTCCATGAATGACCAGGCCAATTGATAGTAAAACTATTCCTGTAATCTAAGCACAATTCATTGATATAATATAGTTAATATTATACAATATATAATATAATTTCATTAGTAAAAGAATAAAAATTATAATCTACTATTGAATTGATCATACTAATCAGTAATGATCAGTAATAATGATATATAATAACTTCATAATAATAAACAATGATTTTATAATATAATGTAATTTATTAAATGGTAAAATAATTTAATTAATGCGATACATAATTAACGTTTCATAAATTTGGAAAAAATGCGTAGATTTATTTGTTTGATTGTAGCAATTTTTCAGAATACCGGTTCTGTGTACGGTATATCACACAAATAACAAGCAGTTTTCAACTGCTGCGGTGTCCGAGCGGTTAAGGAGATGGACTTGAAATCCATTGGGTTCTACCCGCACAGGTTCGAATCCTGTCCGCAGCGAATATATTTTTTTTTTTATTTCAAATAAGATATGATCATTCATATGTATACTTTAATAAAAATACAAAAATTATTTTCTTTTAATTAATTACTAAAAAAACACCAGCAATTTAATAATTCTATGATAACAGTAATTGCATAATAATTTCGCGATATTGCGCAATTAATAATTACATCGGAATTATTAGAAAAAAAGATGTTAATTCAAATAAATTTATTAAAAAATTAATACGTACGCGGCACAAGAATGATCTATTAATAAAACTGATAATATGTATGATATACGCCGTGCGTTTCCATTATGCTAAATAATATTTTAAAAACCGATCGTTATTGAACTGCTTATAACTTGCTCATCCAAGTTGCAAATTTATATATATATATATATATATACAAATATTCTCAGATACAAAATTAACTTTTAATAATAAAATTATTTTAATTATAACGTTTATAGATAATATCGAATATATAATAATCTAATCATGGTTATAAACTAATTAAAATAATGTAATAAAATTAATGTAACAAAATTAAAATATCCTGATTCTTGCTTCACCCTGTAGTGTTTAAAGTTTTGCTTACAGTGTGATCGCATTCGTCCGTATCGATCGTATTGAAAGTGGCTCTCAATTTTGATGTCACGCTGCGCATGAAGAATCGAGACGGTAGATATTGCGCGATAGGGATTCCCCTATCTTTTATTAGTCGATTTCTTATAAGAATTCTCTTATTCGATGATTCATTTACTAGCGATCTTTTTCGATGAGTAAATAAACTAATTGATAAACAAATTAATTACATTGAAATTTATGTATTTAAGTAAAATTTATATTTAAATACAAAAATATTCCATGGATGTCGAATATTTTCACTGAGAATTTGTGATTAAAAAGTGATTTAAGTTTAATATAACAGCAGTAGACATTCTTTATGTTAACTAATTAAGGAAGACTCAATAAATATTTTGTTACAGATATCAAATACATCGTCTGCGACTGTTATACACTGTTAAATTTATAATTACGTCATCTTGTCTAAAAATTGATTATTTGTCGTGACTTTTCTTTATAAACTATTTTCTTATTCGTATCGCAGTGACCTTCAGAAGCGTGATTACATTGTACACAGTGTTTTTCCATTCGGATTTCTAAATAGATAAATCTTCTCTTTTAATTTCAGCCAGCACGCATAATATTTATCTACCAAATACCGAGCTGAAATATCTATTCTAGATAACCGCGTAACTCATAAAGTGTTAAAGGTTAACATAATGAGGTATGGATTATGTATTCCAGAAATACAATATTTTTTAACGATATTCAAATTAATTGTTCTCCATAGTTTAGCTTCATTCGCAGAAAATTACGCAGCATAGTGAAATAGTGATCGTTTAAAAACCAGTTTTGTCGAGCCATGTGATCCTACAGACACTATTCCAATAATGTGCGCACTTCAATGCCGTCATTGAATTTTGATATCAACGCGATGCGTACAGGAATAAACGTCAATCAAAGCTAAAAACATTCCATTAAATATTCCATTTATTAAGTCGCAAATTCTGACTGAAATGAAATGAGGCTAAAATTTAATCGATATTCATTTCCTGGCTGTAATATTTGACTTCGTATATTTTTTCATCGGAAGAAGAATCGATAAAAAGTTAACTTCACCTACAACTTCTTAAGCTAACTTCAGCATTCTAGCATTCGCAATAAAAATCTCGATCAACTTCGATTAATGTTCATTTTGCTAATGCGTTTTTGCAAGCTCCTTCTCACTCACTTTTGATAAAAATCTGTCCGATTGTGATCGTCAGATTTCAACGATCGCGCTGAAGCGTGTCGATACGACGGTTCGATAGATCGCAACGCGATCGAGTCGCGCGGGTGCCAGCTCATCGTTCCAGAAAGAACATGAGACGTCGACGACAGCTGATCGTCGGCCGCGTACTTACCACGAAGAACAGGTTGAAAGCGAATATCAAATATTTGATAGTCTTCGGCGCCAGACCCAGCTCCATCGTCATTGCCCGAGAACTTGTCGGTTATTAATTTGCGTACACGCGATTCTCTGTCCCCTCTCTCTCTCTCTCTCTCTCTCTCTGTCTTTCTGTAGCAAAATTTTTTCTCTCGCGCGAACAGACGATCTGCTACCAAGGGCGAGTCGCGAGCGGTACTGCGCGGTCGAGAGCAAACGAAAAACACAGCGAAAAAAGGCCCCTTGACGCGAGAACGCGCTTTCCGACGGGTGGCGCCGATGTGCATGTGCCAAGAGCAGGATATACACGTATAGGACATACGCCACACGCTCGCGCTTGTTGTACGCTTGTGTGCGAGCGTGCCGGCGTACGGCGTACGTATCGGCGCCGGAGACCGGTCGAAATCTCTCGCTTCAAGGAATTCGTTTCAAAATACACCGGCGACGAGGTGTGCTCGGCTGGTGGGGCCCGGCTTGCACGTATACACTACACCTGTATCGAGATTGCGAAACGAAACTCAACAGATTTCTCGATCCCGATGATTTTTCGAACGTTCCGACGTTACAAAGTCTTATGCAACAAGCCCATTTGCTGCACGCATGGCACCGATATATCATTTGTTGGAAATAATCTTTTTTTTTTTTTTAAAGAACATCGAGGTTCGAGTTCTGGATCTAATCAGGAACAGGATTCCTAATGAGTTGCACCGCGGAAATGCAAATGGAGAGATAAATTGTTTTTTTTTTATTATTAATTTCAGGCGAAATTTAGTTCAAGAGCGTTGAAAAATCAAGAATTGCGAGCAAAAGTATCCGATGCAATTTTGAAGTGGGGAGAAAAGCCTGTTTTATTTTTTAATGCCATATCTATGCGCCAAGTGTATATAACTCGTCGCGAACAAATATCGTCACGCGCGAGATAATATTAGAGTATATCGTTTTACATTTCACCTTAAAGTCGTCTTATGTTACGTCTATGTTACATTCAAAATTCATTACTCGTACGTCGTATTATGTTACGTTCGAAATTTATTTGATAGATATCTACCTAGAATTTCGAAAGAAACGTTTTCGCGAGCTGTTCTTTGAGAAAATAAGTGTTCATTTACGAAAATTAATAATCGCTCACGTGGCTCGCGTTGATTTGCATGCGCGTGACGTCTCGCTTCGGCGTGACTCGACACGGAAATCTCGCGGAAACTTGATAAACGTGCCCGCGCACAATAACTTGGCGGCCTCTGTCCGCCTGGGTTCGGCCACGTCGTTAGTTATAGCCCGTAATTGAGACCATTGAGGCGTAGAATATGGAGCAGATCCTCTAACGTAACTAATATAATATTCAATAACCGAGTGCTCAAGGGTAACACTTGACACATATCTCACCGCGCGTCCCCGTATGCGAGTTATTACCCGCCGCATGATCGGTTAATGATGCCACACGATCAATCTGTGACACAAATATCCATTTATATCGTCTGGCAGACTGCCCTTCCACGATAAAGCAGGACGAAATCAGATTAGATACATGCGTACGAACTTGTATCTTTCATCGCGCGGCGTATCGTCTCGTTTTCCAGAAGCTGAAATCCTTTAATGTTGTCAAGTGGAACGTGTCACGTCGGCGAGCGCCTCGATTCGCGCATCTATAATGATCGTTTTTCATCTTCCTTTATAATTTTAAAAGAGCTTGATATTTCAATTTCGAAATTTAATTAGCGAAATGTTTTGATTGAAAACGATTAAACTTTTTTTACTTTTATTGACACCTAAGGTTATCTGAAAAAATGTATATAATTTTGTTCAACATGTTCAAAAACTTGGCCTCATTGGAATTTAAATAATTCATGTTGTTACTGGAACGGTGACAGAAATATTTTTTTAGCGTCTATTATTATGCGTAGCACAGAGAAAAAGTAAAAATAAAAATATGAAATTGAAAACAAAGATCCTTAAAGTTAAAAGCTGTGAAATTTTTAAGATAATAATAAATTGAATAAAAAATTGAAATGATTAATTGAATGACTAAGCTTGAAAACTATATTTAATGTAAGTCGAATTCGTAAGCATTTTAAGAATAAGAAACATCACATTTTATCTTTAAAACTTTAATGCAATATAATTGCGTATAGTTATGCTTAGATCTTATTTATTCATTTTATTCTTTTGTTTCTTCGTGCGTGTATATGTTTGTATTTTTTACTTTAAGAACACAACATTAAATACTCATCAATCATTCTCCCTTGCATTACACATCTTTTTAAAAAGAAATTGGATACTTAATACGTATGCAGCTCACGTTTGAAACAAGTTAGGATTAAATTAAGTTCGCACGATCGCCTCCCGCGTGGGCGCGGCTTTGTTTCATATGGTGCCTTGTGCCATTGTGTGCCAAGTTTGATCAAGCCGACAAATATTGTATAATTTTAATTTAGTTTACATGTTACATGTAATTAATACGTATATGAAACTTGTATATGAAAGAAGCCTCGAAAGGGAAGTTCATGATTAGACTAATCTTCCAATTCTTCCACATCCGAAGGGTTGTTGCCGCGGCTGTGGCGCGTCGCGGCTGTTTGGACGAGGCCGTGTGGCCCTGAAGCAGACCCGAGCACGCATGCTCCGGCTCCCTGCACATTTTATATTCATGTATATTTAGCTACCGATGGCCGAGGGTTGTACGGTACGGTCTGACGTGGCCGAACATCGGCGGCGAACTCTCCCCGCACGGCGTAGCGTGCCGCGCGCTCGTTGCGCGTGGTCGCACGTTCACGCAAAAATTTAAACGCGCGAAGCCCAGGCCCACTCGTACGAACGCGAAAGCGAAATTCGCAAGGGCGATCTATTCCACATGCAATTTACGTTGACTTGCACTACCCGACTGTTATCGCGTCTCGCTACATTGAGAACGCACGCCAGCTCATTCATCGCGGTACCGCTACTTCCATTTTGCAACTCATCCATTCGCCTATATTAAGATAATCCTTGTTAAGAGCGAGTGATCGATCGCTAATTTTGTTACCGTACCTGTTTCTCTTTTCCTTAATTAGCTACGTGCAGCTATTCATACAGCACAAACGTTGCAGCTATATTGCAGCAACATTGCAGCAATATCGTAACGTTATATGGCTGCGAGCTCTGTGAGGTATGGATAATGACCTGTTTGAATAATGAAACCAGCGCTAACGTAATTGCACGTTTACAATTATACGACTCGGTATTATATTAGTATATTCTTTTTATAATAGTACGTTGTCGCTATATATATGAAATTACTCTAAGATTGATGGTACCGTAATTAAATATTGCACGTATTTTTACGCGCCCGTCAAGTGTCCCTCATGTGACGGGCAAAGTCTTTGAAGCATTTAATATAAACATTACATTACACCTATATACGCAGGCATTGTTATATTTAGAAAATCAATAGGTACATTTAGGGAAAATGTCAAAACAAATTTCCCTCCTCGATGTGTCGATACAAGAGGATTTTAATGCGAATATTACATCGAGAGTACGAAGAATAAAACCTATATCGACGAAACGCGTAAGTTTCTTAAATATCGTTCTTATCCATCGAATATATTCAAGTCGAGGCGGATCTTTTTTTTCTGTCTGTGGCACGCTGAAAAACGCGGTCTCGTCTTAGGTGTCATTAATATGCTACCGAGAAACGTGCAGGGGTAGAAAATTGCGTGGACAGAATTGCAGCGTAATTTCGTCGAGATGAGGTCTGTTCCGTCACAGAAACACACAGGAACAGCCGTTCTTTGTATTGTGCTTTTCATCGGAGTCGTAGACCTAAAGAAACACGAGTGTGACGTGTATATTAATAGACGCCGACAGAGAGTATTGAAGCGTATCAACATCATAATTCACGACGTGGGCGTCGCGAGAATCTCCGTTCGTTGCCATCTCTTTTTTCGTGTTAACGCGTTCGTTCTTCTCCATGTTCATGGCGACTTCGATCAAACAATATCGGATGAAATGATTCGAAAATCCTTCGTAATAATCACTATATCAGAACAAAAATTATCTATGTCAGAGAAATGCATATAATTTTTTTAATAACATAGATATTTCGATATATGGGCGTATCCAGGAGGAAGGAGAGTTCAATCTCAAACTTAAAAAAAAATTAAAGATAAAGTTATGATTTATTATTAAAAAATTAAAGTTAAAGTTATGATAAAGTTAAAGTTATGATATTTACAAAATCTAATATTTTTTCATTCAAAATTAGAAACAAGAAGATATTTTAAGCTCCAAAAGAACAATTTATTAACGCAAAAAATTGCTGTTATGTATTAACAGAATTGATAAACCTTTTCCCCTTCCAAAAAAATTCTGGATACACCTATGTTTCAATATAATAAAAATTGTAATACACGATCAGAAATAAATACAATGATGTACAAAGCGATAATTAGGAAGTCCTTGAAACAAAACAATTGAAGGTCTTTTTATTTTCGGTTCTGCAATTATATATATATATATATATATGTGTGTGTGTATATGGTCAACTTTTAGTTTTTTCATTAATAGCTGATGCAGCAATAATTCTATTCTTTGTAGCTGCATTATATTTCTTACATTTGAAAGAAAATTGATGTATAATTAAATAAGAGAAAAATGAAAAATGAAAAGTACAAAGAGTTGAGTTATAACAAAATTTCACATTATAAACATTTCACATTGTAAAATTTTCAGCGTACTAAAAATATTGCACCAAAAATATTGTTTTCTGATAGTTTGAAACTGATTCGACTATGTTAAAAAAAATCCTTGGTTTAAATATGAAATAGGTTCGAAATAATAAAGTAAAAAACGATAATCTGAATAATTTTAATAAAAAAAAATTGAAAAATATAGTTATTAACAAATCATACATTTTTTAACAAAAATTAAAAAAACTTTTAATGATATTTTGTGAATGTACGATGAAATTAAATTTGTCGGTTGTTTTTTCAAAAATTCGTTCATTAGTTCGATATTCCATATTGGATTATTCCATATTGGATATTGGAAAGCTAATTAGAAAAAAATTTTCCGTAATAAATTGATAAAATAAAGGATAAAATTGAGTTTCGAAAAAATAAATAAATTTAAAGGACAACTATCCGAATTAAAAGATTATCCTTTACAATAGAAAACGTATAGTCACCGTACATGTATATAAACATTTTCACTTATCCTTTCGAAATTCACAATCAATTTAATAATTTTTCTTTGAAATTACGATATTTGTAACTTATATTCATATCACAACAATTCCTCTTAATATTTACTTGACAAATTTATACAAATAAATATTTCATTTTAATCTTGACTGAACAATCGGGACTATTTTATGCCAAGCATAGTCGTATTGTTATATTGTTATACGCGGAAGGGACACGAGTTTCAATTGCGCGAATCTCGTCGTTCGCGATCGACGTTAGTCCTTTGTTCTCCAGAATCAAGGACAGAGAGGCATGCACGCGTAATGTGAATAATGTGTGGTTGTGTGGCCGAATCGTCGATCACGGCGATCCAAAAGGCTCGCCATGACACCACCGCCACCCGAAGTGCAACGCCGTTGCGTCTCGTCGCGTCGAGTTGCGTTGCGTTGCGTTGCGTTGCGTTGCACCGCAATACGCACAGGTTCGTAGCATTCGGGCGACACGTTCGTCCGGCCATCGATCATCGGCGAACGAACGTGACGATCGCATACGCTACGAGGAATGAATAATTATCTTGAGAGACAGAGAGAAGTCTGTCTCTCTCATAAACAATACGAAATAGACGATCAAGTCTGGTACAAGGATATTTTTGATTATAAAAATAAACTTCATTATGACATTTATTATTGTAGAGTCACTTATAACGATAAGTGCATGAAAATCTGTTCATCGCTTTGTCTTATTAAAATTTTTGAAGCTTCTAGAATCGTCGACTGTTCTCAATAAAAAAAATTTCTATATATAATTAGATATAATAAGATTATATAATTATATATAAAGTGTTATATATAAAATTATATATAAAAATTATATATAAATAATAATATATAAAAATATAGTTTATATATAATGAGTAATATAATTAAGTGAGATATAAGAGATATGTGAGTAATATAATTAAATGAGAATGTAAGAGTGATATAGTTAAATTTATATAATGAGTTATACGTATGATTATATATCCATAAAACATAGAGAGATTCTAAAGTTCAGAAGACATTCTACAGATAAGATCTCAAAATATTCCTTAGATAAAATGTATACCCAATGAACAGAATATCTAAAATCAACGCATAAGATAACTTCAAGATATCTTTTATGCCCGATTCCATCAACATAGATTAACTATAATCTCGGTTCAACTTACTCTTCATCTTTTTCTAATTCTAAGAATTAAAAAAAGATAAACAGCAAACCGAGATTAAAGTAAATCTACGTTAATGGAATCGGGCATTAGAGGTTTTTTTTTGAGATATCTTGAAAAATGTTTCTTAAAGAATTCTTAAAGATATCTTAAAGTTATCTTATGCATCGATTTTAGACATTCTGCTTATTGAGTAAATATGTGCATATTTATATATAACCATATATATATAATTATAATAAATATTTTTATATATGGACATATTCTATATATAATTATATAAAGAAAATTTGTTATATGAGTTAACACTTACGTCGCTTTGTTCTGTTGTAATCATTTTAAGAAAAAAAGGTGCACAATATACTGGCGCATAATTGTAACGTATTTTTATAATACAACAAAGTAAAAAAATGTGTTTTATAATACAACAATGTGAAAATTATGAGAACTTCGATTTGGTAGATTTTTCGTAAACTTTCATAGCATTTCTTTTCATAACAGAAAAAAAAATCGTGACTACACTTCGTTTCGACTCTATAAGGGTACGGCCCTGAGCGGGCGGTTGCGCGCGCATCGAGAGTGTATACCGCGCAACAACAAAAATACATTGTCCGGCGTATTTGACGGCGAACAGTCGACGCGCGAGGGCATCCCGGGAGTTACGGGTCGTTGACGTACGGAAGAAAGAGAGAGAAAGAGAAAGAGAGAGAGAGAGAGAAAGGAAAGGGTGACACGATACAAGCGAGACGAGAGTACGAAGGTGTGCAGTCGCAGCATTTTCCGCTTCCGCGTGAAGTAAGAAGCGTGAAGAAAGAAGAGGAAAAGAAAGAAGAGAAGCTATTTTTCTCTCTCTCTCTCGCGCGCGTAGACGCCGCGTGATACGATTCAGTGATCCACGAAGCTCGGTAGAGCACAGTGAGAGTGACGAAAATGGTGTCCGGCGGCATGGCTTGCGTCAAGTACCTGCTGTTCCTCTTCAACCTGATCTTCGCGGTGAGTAACGGAGAGATAACGGTGCATGGAGAACGGCGTTCTCCATTCCGCTATATCCGTGACGCTATTCTTGGCGTCGCGTCGCCGCGCGACGCGACGCGACGCGACGCGACGCGAGGCGACGAGACGCGCGCTGGGCGGCCGCGAGCTTTGTTATATATCGGTCAAGTCCCGGAATAACATCTGGGATCTGCAGATGCATTTTTCTCTCTCATTCGTTCCTAACCCATTAATGCCCGGCGATCAGGCGTGCGATGAGTCATTGATCTCTCGGCCACCGCCTAATGCAAATTATGCAACAAATCGCGTCTTCGAAGTCGCATTCGATTTAATTGATATGCATCTAATTGAAGGCACATCTCGGACTGACGGAGATCCCCTCATGGCATATTTTTTGAATGAGTGACATATTTTTTGAATGAGACATTTGTATGTCGAGTGTGGGTTCAACGATAGATGCGCCGGATTATTCCGGGATGTAATATTTGAATTATGAGATATTACGACGTTCGTCGATTATTATCGGTGTCGCGTTTCGCTCGCGTAGTTTCTTACATACATCGACGTGATGTAATATCTTGGGCGTATCGGATCGATATTGCATATAGCTCGACAGCAAGAACACAGCTCGCAGAAGCCTTTTTTCATTGTCCGTGCGTGTCCATTTGTTTTTCGAAAAGTTTTCTGTAAGCCGTCTGATATCGATATGTATGTTGTGTCGCTGTATAACGCCGATAATCTATCATCTAATAACAATAATAAACTAATCGATATTATGGCGTGACCGAAAGAGCGTACCGCGTTTCTGAATAAATAATGTAAGTACGAGGGTATCATTTCGAGGGAAAACTTTGTGGTGCTCATGCTCCAGAACCTCGATGTAAGCGTTATGGATGAATCGATCGATGTTCGCCCGTCCACGCAGCTGGCGCGCGCGCGCGCGCGCGCGACATCATTGTATATAAAACTTGAAATATGTGCAAAATCGCGTTTTGCATTAAAAAAAAGTTCAAGATCGAAATTTCAGATTGCGATTTCGTCTACTTTTTTTTTTTCTAACAAAATATTTTTTCTGGATTTTCTGGATAGGAGTACACAAAGAAAATAAATAGCGATCCAACAAATAAACGTACGTTTGAAAGATATTAGAGATATCAATAGGTCGGTATTAATGAATTTAATCGAGAATTAGGGGAGAGGGGAGGTCGATGACCCGTCTTGTTTATCGCTTTCGTTCGAAATGAACAAAAGAACGGCGACAATGAGCACAATGGAGATAGAAAGAGTTTATTTAAGAGGTCGAAAATATATCAGAAACACTAAAAGCGCCAAATCCCCGGGGGATCGGAAGATTGTCGCCAGACGGTCGGAGGGATCTGGGACACAAAATATCCCTATAAAGGATGATGAGATGGGCGATCCCGTCGTAGCATTTTAATTTAATGATCCATTTAGCGTGAAATGTCAGCAGCAACCGTGTTTGTATAGAACGTGCCAAAAGATACGAGAGCTCGGCGCTTTGTTCCTCGCAGTCGTAAATTATTCTACGTCGGTTTTTTCCTCCGGAAGAAAAATGTCTAGAAGAAGAGTCGTCATCGTCATCGCATCGTTATTATCATCATTTTTTTTTGCAACGTTTCGAATTCAGCATCTTGAAAAAAAATCCCGAGTTAAAAACTCCGGACTAGAATCCGCATTTCAAGCGGAACGACGAGTAACGGCGTTTGGGGGAATTAAAATTTACGAGCGATTCTATGTCTTCGGTGACATCGTTACTCGGGCGAGGACTTTGAGTTTCACAGGGGGGAGAGAGAGAGAGAGAGAGAGAGAGAGAGAGAGAGAGAGAGAGAGAGAGAGAGAGAGAGAGAGAGAGAGAAGAGAGAGAGAGAGAGA